CACGCGGGGCCAAATTGCAATAATTATTTCCACAGTTTGCGTCTTTCCTACGTGACACTCCGCGAAAATGTAGCAACTGCCACGTCAAGCGCGAACGCGAACTTTACGCACGAACTTTGTATTACGTTTTTTTGCCGTAGTTTTATGACAATTATGTTGATATAAAATATTTCCATATTACAAAATTTATTTGCAAATATAAACAGTTTTGGTATTTTATGAAAGTGCTGCTTATGCAAATTATTTTAATAATTAAATAAAAAATATATATTATTCAAAAAAATTATAAAATAATTAAATTTTTTTCTCAATTTTTTATCTTAAAAAGAATTACGATTCTCCTAACAATAAGTGGGATTAGTGAAACGAATGAGAATAACATATCAATATTTGCCATTTTCTCCTCGCATAAATTGCATACGAAAAAAGGGATAATACGACATTCAATTTAGTGCTCTCACGCTCGCATGATATTCTCGGTTACGATTATTATGTTACCTCGCGCCTTCGTCCAATCCGCGAGGGTGAGTTTTTCGTAAACTCGGTGACTATAAATTACGTGGCGCGAGATACGCGCACATACAACGCGCCGAGTTAATATTTGAACACGAAAAATTGCCATTTTTGCGCGTGGTATATTACACGTTAGCTATAGAGTAGTTTCTTAGTCGAGCGATGGTATTCGATATAATGTGGAAATGAGCATAAACAATATACAATGAAAAAAATAATGTTTTTACAACGCGGTCGATTTTAAGGTAGTACATTTTATTATAAAATGCTATGCTGAAACCGTCAGCGATACAACTTAAAAATTTCAGAAAATTTTAATTTTTCTTTAATATAAAATAAAATCAATATATTACCGATCAATAATGTACTTTTATTTTAATCAAATATTTGTTTTTATCATAATAATGATTATAAAAGTTAATTAATATATACTAATAATTGAATTAATTAATATTAATTAATAATCGGCGCATTTGTCGTACATACATTAAAATGTAGTAAAACAAATAACACGCGCAATAATTATATATACTACTAAATAAAATGGCGTTTTATTCGCGCCTTAAATTTGAATGACCAGCGGATTTCGGAGCAACGATCACGTGACAATTTGTAATCGGCTACCATTCCGCGGCTTGCGATATTTCACGAGATATGATAACTATAATAACGGCTAAACGTTTTAAAACTCGCAGTCTCCGTCTATAACATGCGTGTGTAATACATTAAAAGCCGTTTACCGTCACCATAAAACCAATTTTCTGTCAAACTCACCTGATCCAAGCGCGGCTTCGTGCCCGATGCGTGTCCCACGCGAATCTTGTCTCGTTGATATGTATCCCTCCGCAGCTTCTGTGATCACCAAAAAAGCACACTTTTTCACCGATATGCGTCACAAAGGAGAATACGAGAGAGAGGGAGAGGGGGGAGAGAGAGACGATTCTCACTCTCGATATGTAAGCGTTAACATAATCGGGACGGAATCACGCGCCACGACATTCGAACTGACAACGACGAGCGTGGACGATCGGCGAGCGCCGACTGCGCCACGCGCCGTGGAACGTTGAACGTTGAACCGTATCGAGGTGCGAGGTGCGCGGTGGCGGGTGGGGGCGAGCTCGCCGCGCGGCCGGAGCAAAGGGAAGGGGGAACATCCCGCGCCCGCGCCCGCGGCCCGCTACCCTCGCCGCGAATTCGTTACAGCTGACGGCGGCGATGCTCCGCGACGACGCGCAACATCCGAATCACGCCAAACAGATCTGTCTTTTCTCGCATCTTTCGCGTTCGCGCTCCAATACGTACAACACGCGTTAGATAAATATTAATAATTTAATTAAATATACCCGAAAACTTGTAAAATTGTCATCTCCCGTTTGATCCGATTGAATGCTGTTTCTAATATTCTCTATGTCGGAAATTTAACAAAGATATATTTATTCTGTCATGTAATACATATGAGATAAATGGATTCAATACCTGTCTAACGTTGCCATCATAATCTTCCCGTCACTGGATTCCGCCATTGCCCCGACCACTTTTTCACGCACCCGTGCAAGCCGACCGAAAACTTGCAATTACGTACATTTCTCTACTCGAATAATCAACCCGACGACCGATTTCGGGTTGATATCGCACGGTACTCCTGCAATGGTGATCATTGGATCTGTTACGTTCGCAGCTTTATTACGGATGAAAGAAAGAAGCTAAGTAACGCGTAAAACGACGAACGCGTCGAACGCGACGGCGAAACGGACACGAATGAATGCATGTCGCGATTCGCGTCACGTCATTCGCGATTCTTGGATTGGAGTTAAAAGATTCGAATCGCGCCAACTTCACGCCGCTACGCGTAAACTCCATTAACCCGATATTCCGAAAAATCTCAATCGCGATGATCGCTCGTTAAATCTTTACGTCGATGATGTATTACACGTTGATCAATCTAGAGATCCGATGCTAATAATAATTTATAATTAATCGAAAGTTAAGGGTGCAAATGTTCGTAATGCAAGAACGAGGGAATTGAGAGGTGAAATATTTCGATCAGGAGACAGCACGATAGAACGTGATGCGTATTACCGAAGAACGATATCAAACAACTATTCGCGATCACATCGGGTTAATTAGCACTCCGCGTAATCAGAGACACGACTTATTGTTAGACACACGAATTAGACAACGAACGAGTCGCGGGATGGATTTTTGGAGCGAAAATCGAGCGAGAAAACACGGCGCAATTTTCGACTACGCCGCGACGTAGTACGTGAGTAGAGACAGAAAAGAAAGGGGAGAGAGAGAGAAGGAGGGGGAGGGGGAAGCCACAAGATTACCGCTGTGTTCAAGTTCAAAATAAACAAAAAACGTGCTGTTCGCGCTTACGAAAACACGTCCAACTGCCGACAATCGCAATAAAACTGCCGCAAATTTCAACGTAATAAAACGTGAATAAAAATGTTATCACATATATATTTTAATACGATTTATACGTCGATGCTAATAGTATTTAGTACTATATCTGACTAGTATATTACTGCATTTTGATACAAACGTAATTTCAAACGTGTTAATATAATAATAATGTAATAATTTATACTTTAATATTAATGTCACAATTAATAAAGAAGATAAAAGAATGTTATAATAAAATATTATAGTGTCAAGAAGAAACTGTTATAGTCGTCTACTTCAATTTGATTAGCGCATCGATTATAATAATCAAAATAACGTTTTAAATTATGTAATTTTAATTCAATTTTAATTTCACGAGCATGTGTATGACTGATGAATAAAACTGAATCAATTGTCTTTGATTTTAAATAAATAGATAAAATAGGAAATAACACGTGCGAATATTTCATTATTATCGTTAATATTTATCTTGATGGTTTCAGGTGAGCATTAGCATGGAAATGAAATAGAGACTCCGAGTTGCAGTAACCATGAAATTTCGTAATTATATTTTTCAATATAAGTGTAAGTTTTGTGGCAGTACATTAAATAGTTGCGGGTGCATTTATGATAATGATGTGTGTTGCTTAATAATCTCAAATAACTGAAATAGTAATAAAATAGAAACCCGTAGTGCCGTCAAACATCGCGTCAACACCGATGTATTAATCAATTGCACAAGAAATACCTACATGTTGCAATTTATTCGCTCCCTAATATAGGTAGAAAAAAAGTGCAAAGATAAAACTCGCGTAATTGTGTAAACCTGGCAAATCAAAATATTAAATAATTCAGATTAAATTCTATTGAAAATTATAATCAACAAAATTTTACACGCACGTACTCAACTAATATTAATAATATTATTAATATTATTAATACATATGAATTATATTTTATGTCAAATTTAAATACGTTTCGCTATTTTCCGATTTTAATCATGTCCTTAATCGGAACTCAGCGGAACATATTTTATCAATAATTTCAGAAGTTGTTAGATTGTTTTATTAATCATATTTGTACAATGCGTATTTTGGGAAAATAAACATGAAATTAACATTGCAAGACACACTGGCGTGAGGTGTTGTAGCTAGCTTTCTTTTAATTCTATTCCTGCAAATCGCCAACTAAACAGATATAGTTAGTATACAAATTTGGAGAATAGAGTTGCATGATAAGAGATTTGCTTTTATACGAATATCATATCTCTAATATATGTATATATATGTATAATATAATATAATAATAATATATAATATAAATAGTTAAAGTCGCAATATATGCATCTTTAATTTTTGGCGTAAATCACGTTTAAAACCTATGAACTATCATAAATTGCGCGCAGATCGACATGCTTATTAAGATATTAAGAACAATACAACAAAACAAGAACAAAAAACAAAAAAAAGTAATTATTACCGTTTATTAACAAAGTTCTAAAAGTCGGGATTCCGCGCTAGAAAACGCGAATAAATGAATGACGAGCGAACGAATCACAGTAACGACATTATTTTTATCATTTTACGAGTAATCAAGCCTTACACACACGTCATTACAATTATGTACACGAATTTGTCGATAGACGTCACACGAGCGCGATACAAAAATCGTCGGGAATCGCTGCAGCAAAAGTGAGACCACAAATTGGCAATGATCGAGCGACAAAGAGTGCGATGTTATGATTCTGATAATTTTCACAATTGATAAAGTTGAGTCAAGACTTGATCAAATCTCAAAAACCTCACCCTTTCGTTATTTTTTAAATTTCCGGGTTCCAAAAGTTGCAAATTTTACATATGCATATATTTTCTACTTTATATATGTATATTTATATAAAAATTCCAATATTGTTTTAAATTAAAAGATACTTTTGTGTCCTTAATTACTTCAATGTAGAATCAAAACGGAAAATTCCATAAGTATATATCCCACAATTTAAAAAATATAACGTAAAAAGGCAATCTCTCTCTCTCTCTCTCTCTCTCTCTCTCTCTCTCTCTCTCTCTCTTTCTCTCCTTCGTTTAAAATAAGTAATTTTAAATAAATAATTGCATACAGTTGAAACTGACTTATTATAAAAATAATTTTTTGTTTTTTTTTGCAAAAAACGTCCTCTTTCAACATTCTTTACTCATTTGATAAAATCAGTTATGTGAAAGAATATTTTCCTGATTTTCCATTTTGATAAAGACGACACTGTCAATTCTTGCCTTCACTTTATCAACACCTACAAAAATAATTTTAATAATAGTCATCTTTCTTTTTCTGCAGCGCATGCACTCGTTCGTCAATTTTCCAGTGTCATATCTTATTGCTAATACGACGCGGTTCCTTTACAAAAATAATTATCTTCTCGCTTTTCCTTGAATAAATTCAATGTCCACTACGCTTATCCAGCATCCCAAAATCGCCCAATTCGTCGCCCTTTGTCTTCCGTTGCGAAAATTCTTACGCTATTAAATACCAATTGCTAATCGCTAATCGCTAATCGCTAATCGTTAATCACTAATCGCTCGAAAATGAAGCTTTATCCTCCTAGTTATTATTTTTTACCTTAACCCTTTCGATCATACATTGCACTCTTCGAGAAACTACTCGGTGTAACTTTTACCTTAAAATCGTATTTTTTCTTAAAACAAATTTCCTTTAGTTTAAAAGAGACGTTCAAATATCAATATATAAATAAGCTAAAAGTCGCTAAAATTAATTTTTACGTTAACACATATATGTTAAAGCCTTTTTCGCGTCATGGAACCGAAAGGGTTGATTGAATACTCTGTCTATTTGCGTTTTATCTATAACTAGACTTACATAGACATCCGATATAAAATAACCTACTTAAATGCATTTGGCATGTTTTGTTCTTAATTCCAAACTCGCCCGCTTCAATCTCCGTCATCGTCATCATTCGCTATCGATCTACTACTATCTCAGTGCTGTTGACATAGTCATCCTCCCGGACGATTAAGGACTGGTTACGTCATCATCGATTAGCACTCTCTATCACGCAAGATTAATTATATATTATTCTTACTCTAACTAAAAGGATAATATCTAAAAAAAGGACGAATTGCAGCCGGGATTTTAATAACTAACAAGTCCTCCAGATTAACTCTAGAAGTTAATACTGGTAAGTAATTAATTTTTGCAGATATGAATTTAAATCCAGTTTTATTCTTTAAAAAAATCTTTTGCACACTTTGCGATTATATATCTGTCTTTGGTCTTTTTCAGCTATTCAATCTTCAACTGTATTAAAAATTGTATGGAAATATACGTAAATTTAAAAAAAAGTTTTACACCATTTCACACTATTCTGTGTTGAATTATCTACAAGATTCGAGGATCTCTTTCTGAATGGCATCAATGAAAAGTATTATAACTGCACTTTTTAACACCTGTACAATTATTTCCCAATACTACTTTGTCGGTAAAATGCCTTAAAGAAATATTATAACTTTCTAACCCATCGTTTTATATTTCATTTTTTATTTTTATTGTAATTAATGACCTGAAAACTTTCAGAAAAAAATAGAAATTATCGATTATTGTAGCTTTTCGTTAACACTGTCACTACTGTCAATCTAAATCTGAAAGTTCAAAATCTAAGGATTATGAGATCGTTTCTACCATCGCAAAATGTTTAGTGTCATTCTATTTAGCCCTTCGTAATTTCAATTTAATAAAATTTAAAGCGACGCGAAACTTTTCTCGCGTGTACACAGTCATTAAGAAAATAGTTCTCAACTTCGATGAAGCTCGCTTTTTCAATCGCTACGCAAGAGTGTCAATCAACTTAATGACTTTAAACAATACCAATACCACAATTGCCCCATTTTTAAAGCGTTTGAACTTTGGATTTCGTCGCTCTGGCGCGAACTAGTCGTAAGTCAGCGTCCACACACCTTTGGCGAATCACCTCGACTCTACGCTACTCGTTATCACTTCGTCCTGGTCGTGTTCAGTACGCCGCTTGTTTTCACGTGAACATTTTGCCTGTTGGATTTGCCCCTGCTAGCAATCGTCGAGGCGTCGATCACTGATCTTCGGCTCCTATCTACTTTTTCCACCCTCTCTACTTTTTCCACCTCCTCTTCGTCCCTTCCCTTGTTCACCTCAGATCGCTGAGTGCGACCCGTCGACTTGTACGTGATCCTCCCGGTCTTCGCTTCACTCTCGTATGTCTTCCTCAACGGCTGCGGTGTATAATACAAGCTAAACCGTTTTGTCCGCGTTGTCGACTTCTGTCTCGTTTCGTCGCGTAATTCATCCGTCGAGCTAAACTTCCGCGTTGTGACTTTATCACCGCTGCCGCCGCCGCTGCCGCCGACTTCCTCAGGCGATCTCTTCGTTGCGCATGAAGAAAAGCAACTGTATCTCTTGCTCTTGGCATTTCTGGGATCTATCTGACTCTTCCTATTAATGTATCTTTCCTGTCGTAGCTTCACTGGCTCGTTCTTTCCGCATTTACCCATTTCTTGAACCCTACTAAACGGACTATTGCAGTTCTTTTTGTCGAGCTGATTGTTCGATTTAGGTGATCTTAATGTATTCAGCACAGCTATTCGGGTTTGCAGTATCTTCGTAGCAGACGTATTCTGATCCTGATTATTCGTGAGCTTGGAAGATATCTGCGATGAATGATCCTTGAGACAGTTGTTCCGGTTCGTGTACCGAAAACTCACATTCTCGAAACTATCAGTCGATTCCATGCTTTGCGTCGAGCTCGATTTTGGGCCACGTGCCAATCGCGCGAATTGAATGTTTACAAAGCTGTCAGAAGTCTCGATGTCATTGCCGGTCGAACTATCGCCTGTCAGACTGTCACTCGATGTCGACGCAGTCGCGTTGCTGTTGCGAAAGTCATCGCTGTCGAATCTGCTTTCACGACTCATCTCGTACAAGTTCTTTTGGTTACATGTATTTTGCCGATTCTTGACGATGGATTTATTCGCCGACTTCGGCGTTTCACAATTTGAGTGAAAATATTTTGGCTCTTTTACCGAGTTTCCATTTTTCTGATCGCCTCGATGATTCCTAGAATCCGTGACTATCTTCTCGGCGATTTTGCTGCAATAAACCGGTGAATTGCTGCGACAATTGCACGTATTTAAATTCTCTGGAATGCTGTTAAGCGACGAAGTAGCGCTTTGCGATTCAAGACGACGTCGCGGCCTTCTGTTATAGTTTAGATTATCTATTAAATCGTGCATTGATCGGCTCAGACTATTGATGTCTTTCAGACAGTCGGAACTAAGAAACATTAAATCGTTTTCGTTGCTATTGCCGTTGGCAAAATCAATTTCATCATGATTTCGCTCATCCGATTTTCTCTGGGTATTGATGAACTCCGGTGCGTCGCAACGATCAATATCATTTTTCCACTCAGCTCTTGTTCTGGTATCGTCATCCTGTCGTTGACTGCGCTGCTTCTTGAAGTCGAACTCAAAGGTAGCCAATCTTATCGGCTTACGCTGCTGATTCCAGTATTGCTCCGCCGGTGCGTCGGCAGCAGTTGCTGTTGTGGTCTGCTCGCCTCCTAGAAAGCTCTGCTGATATACAGAGGCGGGACAAAAGAAAAGAAAAAGCACTGCTACAGATACAGCAAACCACTACAAAAGCTTTCTTAGTCTTGTGTTCGAAATAAAGCCGACAAAGCGTGAAGGAGGCAAGTAGGTTTCTGATCACACCACGCTCATAACATGGAAATTTTGTTCAGCGTATAAAGTAAAGAATCATAACGAATTATTATTTTTTAACTAAATTACATTTATAGAAGAATATTTATAATACGTAATCTTTTTTTGTAATTTATAAAATAAATGCTATAGTCTAGGTCTAGAGCTGTTCATGTTTTTGATTCTTTTCCCGAAACTATATAAATATAAAATTCTTTATGGATTAAGTAATAATAAAATTAAATAAATTCAAAACTCGAGACGATTTCGTTGACAAAACTTATTGTTGAAATTCCAAATGTTACATTTATAAACCCGCTCTGAACTCTTTTCCAGTGTAGTGTGGCGTGACGAACTGAAGGGAGCTGAAGGAATCGTGCCCAAAATAATAAATGCAATAGCGAATGTGTCGTGTAGCCGAGAACCACCTGATAAATTCATCTTCGGTTACTGTGAGTGAGAAAGGGGTTTTAAGCCATGCTGGTGCGGCAACGCGGTGATTTCTCTAACTTGTGAGGTACAATAACAATGTCGTATGTCAGTGATAGTTACCGCGAGCCACGGATGATCTAACACGTCCTCCGCGCTGAAGCGAAGTTCTGGCTGTGCCTGCAACATGTTCGAGATGAGCTGCTTTGCGGAATCCGATATCGTATCCCAATACGGCGATGTAAATTCATATTGACCGCTCAGAATACGCTCAAATAATTCTTCCTGTTCGTTATCTAACGATACGAATGGTGGAAAGCCGCACAAGAGAATATACAGAATTACTCCGGCCGCCCATACATCAATCTAAAAAACAATATATTTATATATACATAAGAGTTGACAAAAATATTTTTTTAAAAAAGACAGATATTTATATATAATCTAAATATATTTTTCATGTCTTTATAGATTAATATTAAAAATTCTTATATTTTTGCCTTTAAAAATATATTTTCTTTAAAAGTACATATGAGAAATGTGTTCCAACCAATTAATTTTTATAATAACTTTACTTGCTATACTTAATTGCTAAATTGCTTAATTGCTAAATTCGCTATAATAAATCAATATACCTTTAAACCATATCCGGTTTCGGCGAGAATTTCCGGTGCCACGTAAGTAGGTGTACCACAGACTGTGTATAAAGGTTCTCGCACTACCTGCGCGAGTCCAAAATCACCTAGTTTCAAGCACCTAACGTGACTGCCATCCATCTCAACTAAAAGATTCTCCGGCTTAACGTCGCGATGTACGATATGATGCGAATGTAAGTAAGCCAAGGCGGAAGTCAAGTGACTAATCATCACACTCGCTTCTGCCTCGGAGAATTTCGTCGCTACTGCGATTGCATCGAATAAATCTCCACCCTGAAAAAATATCGTTTCAATTACTACATCTTTGCAATTAAATTTTACATTATAAATTAAATTACAAATGTATCGTTTTGATTTGTTTTCAGCACTATTACGTTTCTTTCAATTTCGATGGCGTACCTTAACTAGTTCCATAACTAAAAATAGCTGATCGGCAGTATCTTGTTCCGCAATCAAACTGATTATATTGGGATGGCAAACTTGTCTTAGTATCGCTACCTCGCTGGCTAGCATTGTCTCCTTTCCTTGACACTTGTACTTATCCACAATTTTCATAGCGTATTCAGCTCCGCTAGATCTAAAATATTAAATTTTAATGTTTCGTATTAGATTTTTTGAACAAATAAACTAAAGGCCATCTCTGGCTAAATAAATTACAATATTGCATTACATTTTGCGTGTTAATTATATTTTTTTTATATATAAAACTTTACTATTATTTTTTGTACATATCGTACAATTATCTTCTATAAAATAACATCTTCTGATCTTCAAAACTATAGTTTTGATGTTTTCATAATTCATATAAAATTTCTATTTAAAAGTCCTTTGTGCTTTGTAATACTTACTTGTGAGTGCAATGCCTAACGACGGCAAAGTTTCCGTCTCCAATTATGTGTCCTACGGTGTAATGCAATCTCAGAGGCTGTGGCAGTATCAAAGATGACGGACTGGGAGTCCTGACTTGCGGCGTGGTAAGCGTCTTCTTGCCAGACTTTCTCGGCATCCGCGGCATCGGGCCGCTCTGTCGCTTGGAACTCCACGGACATCGGCGGAAACTCTGAACACTCTTACTCTCCTCGAAGTCCAGCTCAAAATCTTCCTGTACGGACTTCTCCGGGCCGTAAGCCACGAAGATGTCATCATTCTCAAAGAATTGCTCGAGCAAGGTCACTTGCTGACCTGACAACGTGTACACCTTCCTCACCGCCCCAGTATCGAGTTTTACCGCCTCCGTAATCGCTTCCATCGCGTGCTCGAGACTCGGCGCGTTGCGTTTATTCAACAATAACCGCACGACCTTACGTGGCTTGGTACCGTGGCGGATCAGCGTCACGATGCGCGCTTTCACGCACAACGGAATGGCGCTGGTCTGCCTACCGGTACCACCGCCACCACTGCTAGCTGCCGGCGACTGTGGCAGCCCAGACAGCGAGCTCCCCCGACGGACCTTGGACGCTGAATATTCAACCTTTTTAAAGATTTCACCCTGGCCAGACACCACGTAGCACTTGCCGTCCTCTAGGTCGCTGACGCTCTGTACCTTGTGACCATCCATGGTATATATCGTTCGCACCCCATTCGGCAGGGTAACACTCGAAACCAGGGCACGAGTCAGATCGGACGCGAGACTATCGAAGCTGCGATATCTTTCAGGTGTCACTGCCATTACCACACCTGTATAATATTTATCTCCATTGCGGAAGAATCGAACTCTCTTGGCTTTTTTGGTCGGAGGTGTTCTAAGGACATTTAAGCTGTGTCGCGATGTGATATCCAATATCCTCTCATCTAGACTGACTATGGTGGTCGAATTGAGTTCACTGGCACCACCCACCGAAAGGTTGCCACCGCTGGACGGCGAGGCACCTTGGCTCAGTGGTTCCTCCATCATCCTAGAGGAGTATTACTCTTATCAATGAAACAATACATACAAGTGTTAGTTGATATTTTTCAATGACATGTGACAATTAAAAGTCCTAGCTACTCTTATTTTATTAAAACTATCGTCTAATGTCTTTCACATATTGTAACATGTTCCTAATAGATTTTACACCTGTTATATATAATTAGTCTTTCAACATACGTATGTGCGTTGGCATGTTCCTAATATAATTTATACCTTATATATAATTAACAGAAAGCAAAGGTAATTGTCACATAACAATACGTTCAGAGTAAGAAAATGAATTTGTCGGAGGAATATTGAAAATGTTATTGTTTCGATAAGTACGTGATTATAATCTAACATTTTCCAATATAATTTGTTTTTAACATGGTTTAGTGTATACACATGTAATACATAATTAATATATAATCAATTACTGGCTAATGACTAAAATTACCTAAATAAAATTTTAATAGTTGCGTAGAGTGACGCATTCGAAAGGGAAATGCACAAATATATTATCCTTTAATAATTTATTATCTTTCAGTCTAACTTTACAGTTACAGACGTGTTGTAATGTAACGAAATTATAAACCAAGCCAGGCCCTCTTATCTGCCATCCCACCACATCCCACTACAAATATAAAGTCACCTGGAGATTATCGCGAGCTCGCGCTGCTGATAAATTAGACAGTCCCCCGGAATGGCATTCCAGCCTTTTTTACCCCCTCATCAGCAATAGCATGAGTCACGCTTTAGAAAGTGTACTTGACAGGTGCAGCGGGAAGTGCGGGAACGGGAATTCCATTTGGCGATCGTGAAACCGCTACCAGCTACCAGCTGCCGCGAACAGCACGCCAGACGCTTGAGACACTAATTTACGCCTAGTTGTTCGGGAATCGGGACTGATATCAGAGCACGACTAGCACGAGGACAGGTATGGACTATGGACGGGGATATAGGATGCTGCGTGGCTGTGGTGCGAATGCACTTAACCTGCTCTCACTCGCCCGTTAACGGGCGCCGTCCGCGGTCCGCCGTCAGCCGTCAGCCGTCGTCGACGAATAACGGAATAACGAATATGACGATCCGCCCGGTCGGCGCGGCGCGGCGCGGCGGTCAACCCGGTACGGTACACGCGTGTACGTGTATCCACGCTGTCACTCACCTGCTCGCAATCCGAGCAGAACGTGGTCGATCGTCTTCGTCTCGGTGGCACGGGACACGGGACGTGCAGCGTACAGCCGTCCAGCCCCAGTCGTTTGACGCGCGCGCGAGACAAGCCGAGCGTGAATCACCAATGATCACCACTGATTACCAATTTACCAATTCACTACCAGCGAGCTGACATTTTCGCAGCGCTCCGGCGACCGCAAACACTAGGCACTAGGCAGTGCAGTAGCACTTCAGAGTACTGTCACCAGGGTACCGCTTTTACTCGCGCATGCGCGCTGCAAAGCCTGCAAACTAAATTCAACATTCAATTTTGTAACCTGTTACAACTTGAAAAGTTTATTACATGAATTGCAGTTCCTTACAGGATTCGGTAACTTTTATTTTCAACGCCGGAGAATCGCTAAAGTATTCTTAAATTCAAAATTTTATAATCGAAAGGTTGCGATTGTCGCAAATTACTTTTATTGCTGAATCGACAATTAAATATTATAGTTTCTCATGAAATTCGATGTCGACGCTTTGCATCGTTAAATCACCGACGAGATGATACTGATGAAGATATATCAAAGACTATCAATCTTACAATTAGATAAATATGTGATTATTATCAGGGCCTTAAGAACCCGGAAATAATTGAAAAATATTAACATTATCTACATATAACTGTCGATTTAAAATTTTCGACCGCCGACTTATAATAAATATCTGAATAATTAGCTTATTATAATACAGTTTTAAATTCGTGATTTATTATATATATTATGCAGATGTTTCATAACTAAGCATCTAAGCATTCATATTTACAACGCATTAATATTATATATACAGGCTAGTACCTTCCATAGGAAGGTTTGGAAACACTCTATGACAGATGCCGTACGTGCGACTATTTACAGATAAATAGTCGCACGGCAGCGATCTGTGCATGAATATATCGTAAGACGTTCGAATCATCATATATATTTCCACCTGGGACACTTGCAACACTCTTGTACATGTCGAAAATATGTCGGATGATTATTTTGCGATACCGAAGTGCTCGGAGTTGAATTTGTTGAACAGCGAATCACAAGTCACAGGTGCACCTTTGGGAAGTTCTCCAGCAAGAATGGAAACGTATCCCGACTGAACTCCAAAAGTTGATCCACCGTATGCCGAGAATATGCAAGGCAGTCATTAAAGCAAAAGGTGTGGTTACTTTGAGGAATGTAAAAATTAATGAAAATTTTTTATTTTAAGTACAAAGTACAATATATTGATTTTATTATGTACTATTTTCTGTATATTGCATTTTATAGAGTGTTTCCAAACTTATGGAGGGTACTGTGTGTGTGTATATATATATATATTTATTGTGTTGCACTACCGCATTTTTTTATATAATATAAAATAAAACGAAACTATACTATATAGCAAAGAAAGATACGTCGGTAAAAATCGGTTGTCTCGATAGACAACAGTAAGATGTCACTTTGAGTCCTTTTTGAAAATTCGACACTATTTCTTTTTAAATAATCTTTATTTTAAACAATGATTTCTCTGATCGCTCTTCTTTAACTTTTGAAAGAAGATCCGTTAGATTTTTTTTAATTTATCAAAATTATTTTTCTATTATTTGAGTCTGCATATTTTCGTTAGAAAGGTATTCGTTCATAACTATTCTAATAATTCAGACATTTTATTATATAATATTTAAACCTGATAAATATTGTTAATATTTTAAATTTAAAAAATGTATATTTCTCATTAGATGTGATATCTTTAATATGTAACTAAATAAAAAAAATTATCAAACATTTTTTTCTTAATTTTACCGTTCTTATTAATTTCGTTTCTCTTTCTTTTTAAAATATTTCTATCTATTCTTCTAAAATCCGTCTATCGTCTAATAAACTAATTTAAAATAGAGCTGCTATCTTTGCGCAAAAAGAATAAATGTTGAATCGCATGTTTTTAGTATATAAAGTGTTTTTACAACTTACGTTTCAACTAAAAACTTTAATGTCGCTATTATAAATACTAAATATGTATACGTGAAAATTAAGATCCTTATTTATACAACGAATAGGAGATTTTCTTCGCCGCGGTGAATAAATAACAAAAGTGACTTGATTTCCTTGTCGATAACTGGCAATTTTATTATCCTTACTTATAATAAAATGCTTATTCGCGAATAAGAAAATGTTGACGTGGATTTGAGAAAGGGATTTCTTTTCTCAAATCTACGTAAAAATTTACAGCAAATTTATTATCGCAAATTGAAATCAACGAAATGATATCGCTAATCCTTGGCTAAAAGAATCACTTTTTCGTTTCTTTGTTCGTACCTGGCGCGCAGGCAAACGAATAGGCAGGTAACCGTGGTCACCAGGTAACTCATACATTACAACGATGACCGAGAAGGAGAGGGGCCCGACGCAGGACGCAGGTCGACGGTCGACTCTGTCGAGCGAAGTGGCCGAGGTGGCGGCGTTCTCGTTCTCCGCCTCCGCCACCGTCGCCGCGTCAGCCGTCAGCTCGCACTGCTCGCAGCTCGCAGTCTCGTTCGGCGAGCGTTCGTCGTCACTCGTCGGTCGAAGGAGGTCGCAGCTGGTGGGCGCGCGGGTGTGGAGGTGAAAAAGTGGAGAACGTACCTCGGAGCGGAAATTTATTTTTTCACGACGTGCGGGGAAAAAAGTGCGAGCGGGAAAAACACAGGCAAGAGGAGCAAGAGTAGCAGAATGTTGAGTGCGTGAAAGGGTGAAACGAGACGAGAGAAGAAGGAGCCGAAAAGCAGACTTGGAGCCGGAAAATGCGGGCGCGACACGTCGTGGCAGGTGAGTCAGGCAGGTCTCCCCCTGTTAAGACCGCGGTTGCGGTCGCCATCGCTCCGTGCAACCGTGCGACCGTGCGAGCGTCGCGGGCCGGGGCCCTGAGTGGCCCTGACGCGAGACGCGACGCCGCGCCGCCGCCGCCGCGCCGTCCAGACGCGAAATCTTACCTGAGGGAAACGTTGAAATCGTTTTAATTTACGCCGATCCGCGATCGTTGATCCCGAATGTTAAATCTTCCGTCGCGAATATAACGAGCGGAACAAGATGTAGCGTTCACCGAATTTGTGATTCATCCGAATTGTGGATCCTGAATATAAACGCAGTATAAGCGATGATCTACGCTGACTTACGAGAGATCCTGAATCGATAATCGAACTATGGTGAATCAAGACAAAGCGATATACATCTATATTATCTTATTATTATTTTTTAAATCAGACTGAATAAAATGATAATAAAAGTGTACAATATATATGTTTGTGTGTATAGATACATGCATATATAAAATTATTATATATATGTACATACTGTATATATAATTATAATTGATGAACCCTGGATATTAGATATAGGATCGAGGAATTTTTACGCTTATTGTTGGTTCCAGAAGACTTCTTACGGGAGACGAAATTCTTTTTACGAATTTTTAAATAATCAAATGAAAAATCCTCGTAAGTCAAAATATCAAGACTGCGTGATTGTTTTGCTAGGTAATTTGTGAATAAATTCAGGGCCGTGGGACAATTCAGACAATTGTGACAGGTGCAGGAAAAATTCACCCTCGAAACATTCTGCATACCTACCTAACCGTCTACCTGAGGTACTGTTATGAGAAAAGCATATCGTTACGCTCCAAGGGAGTCTGGCATTTTGATTGTAGTTAACAAAGAGTCTCTGGTAATCGACGTTGTACAAAAATAGCTTATTGCGTTGCAAAATAATAATTGATAGAAAAATGTCACTGCCAAAGATATCATCCGGAAAACTAAATAGATTTGAAACAAGTATTTTTCTATAAAAAAAAAACACACATATACATATTGCAGCATAGTTAAAATATGGAAAAAAGATTATATAGAATTAAAAAGGATTAGACAAAGTTAAGAAAAGACAGATATATGGAGATATATGTATAATAAATATAGAATTGAAATTTTACTTCTCTCTCTCTCTCTCTCTCTCTCTCTCTCTCTCTCTCTCTCATAGTCTACGTATTTTGTATCACCTTTCTGCATCTCGAGGTTCGCAGATTATCGGCCATCTATTTTGCTGTTTTGAGAGTTTGTTTGACTAGATTTAGGTATATGTTATATCGCTTGGCTCTCTAGCGTTCTCTGGGAGCATCACGTGATGCGCTAACGAGACGAAGCTGAATCTATTGAAATCTCCCGCAGGTGAGTTCAATACCAGATCCCAGAACGAGTAAAATCAGCTTTCTTGGCTCTTTATGATTGAATTTTGATAATACTGAACCTTCTCTTCAATCACGCAATGTTAATTTTTATAAAACAATTATGTCTTATAAATTTTGAATTTTATTAAAATTAATTTCGAGACATACTCCAATTATTTGAAATTTATTTAATTTTCATAATACAAAAACGTTCTCTAATTAAATTTTTCGAGCGTTGTTGTTTAATAATTTATTATTTGAGGATTGCATTTAAAAGGAATAATTTGCATTTGTGTGGCAAAGGAATTATAGCAGTGCCAAATGAGAGAATTATAACGTTGCGTGAATTATGGAATTTTCTAACGAGCGTGATAAACCATCAGTTGGACATTCTCTTCCGTGGTATCGTATGTGACAATGAAAAATTCTGATTGCGTGCGATGCGGTATTAATCGATATCGCTTGGTGCAACGAATAACCTTCGAAATGCATTTGCAAAAAGTAGAACGATTCAACAGTCGAAAGCAAAAGTGGCTTCAGTTAATCGAAGTCGAAGTCTCTTCGCTATTCGATTCTTAATTTTTTTTAGAAGAGATGATAATCTAATTTTATCATTTGTATTATTATATAATAATAACCATTGTATAATCGGGCATAATGTGTGTATTCGGGAACAATGTGTTTGACTCCAATGTATTCGACATCTTTCTATTGTAAGTTGTAAAAAATATTGGATTGCACATGCACATGCGAGTGGTGATAACAAAAATTTCTGAATTTACTAACTATTAGGATTTTAATTAAACTGTAAAAACAAAATAATTAAATCCATCGACAATTATGTTACCTGATTCTTAGAAAAGTGATATAATCGTACCGATAAAAATCTTAATGATATTATTATTGTGTGGGAAAACGGATGTGTCCTCACGTTTGGCATGCCTGATTTTCTTCTATTTCTTTTTGTATTAGATTTTATTTTATTATTTCAGCTTCGCGCGTTTTATGATTTAATACTAAAATTTTAAGATACATATAGTTCTCCTACAACTATACATAAAATATTTTTTAATTTACATTATTAAGAGAAATATATATAGAATCTATAAAGATTTTTGTAGAATTCGGTAAGTCCTTCATTTTAGTAGCAACACAGTTCTGAAACAAACAAATATTCAGATACTGTGCTGTGTTTCAACGTTTGGAACATCTGAAGATTTTTTCGTGCCGTCAACAATGGAATGGTTTTTCCTCGAGTTGGAATTTCGATTTGGATTAGAAGAGAAAAAGGAAAGAAAGAAAAATGCCCATTTTTCACAATAGATAAAATTATTGCGAAGGTACAGTTCTGAAACAAACAAATATTCAGGTACTGTGCTGTGTTTCAACGTTTGGAACACCTGACGATTTTTTCGTGCCGTCAACAATGGAATGGTTTTTCCTCGGGTTGGAATTTCGATTTGGATTAGAAGAGAAAAAGAAAAGAAAAAAAAATACCCATTTTCCACAATAGATAAAATTCTTGTGAAGGTATGCGATTGCAAATGAGACGTTTTTCTCGTCCCGAGAAGAATAAACGCTGGAATAATTCATAGGCTGGTTATCTCCCTGCGAGTGAGCTTCCGCTTTTATGCACACCTTTCCGGTCACGTAAAAGCGCGCTGCGCATTGACCGCGCACGAGGAGGCGCTCTTTCGTAACGGTATAAACTTTTACCTCTTCGGGATCACCGGCGTGGATCAGTGACCGACCCGAGAGAGTCACTACGATGACCCGTGAAATTGTCGTTCTCAGACGACAATTATCAGAAAACGAGTACTATGCAAATTTACAAACTATACAGCAAAGATCAACCATCAACTTTCGCAAAAATTTCCAGAAATAAATAACTTTATTACATTTTGTAACTTTTTTTCGCCCAACTTTAAAGATTTTTTTTATAACATTTACTTTCTGTCTCCGAAGAGATTACATATCTCTATTTAAAAATTAATTTTATGTTATAAGCTGCTTGTAAAGTTTCTTGCATCTCGAGAAAATATATAATACAAAATCTTAATTATTAAATTACAAAAATATATTACAGTTTGTAACGCATCTTGAACGGGTGGCGGATCTTGATGTTCTCTAACTTCTCGTCACAGACGTTGTCCAACTGTGTCCAACTTTCCAAAACTGTAAAGGCCCGTCAAACTCGGGGAAATGTCCTTTGTCCGCTCCGTGAAAGATGCTTTAGACCGGGGCGGACAAACGGCTTATCGCTCCAGGAATTTCTGTGCGCTTCGTGATCGTGCCGTAGCCGAGCACTTTTCGTATGGAAATACGAAAGCTGACGCGAGTTTAGATAAGCGACCACCTGTGTGTGTGTGTGTAAAAAGTATCATCCCTATGAGTCATCTCAATTTTTCGAACAATGTCGAGACGTTGGAGCGAAGCAACGAACTGCGGAGTCTGCGATATCAATATCGTTAAATTGCTCGAAATAAATTGATTTAATTGAAAACGATGACAATAGGGAAATGATGGTTTACAACGGGTAACAACATATTTGCATAACAATATTGATGCATATACATATCTTGCCTAGAAGATGCCTCTACAAATACTCGCTGAAATTAAATTTGGTTAAACGAACTCTTTTAGGATTTTGTTGTTGGATTTTAATTAAACTCTCTATCTCTCACGAGTATAGATAATAATTATATTATATTAAAGATTTTAAACGTCTTACAGATATGTATTTTAATAGGTACCTACTTATAAGGAAAGATTCTCCTTTCTCAAGCTTTCAAGATATTCAAAATTTCCAAGAATCTTCGGTTTTAAATGATAATTTGAAGTAATTCGAAACTTTACAAGGTACTGGAATAGCAAACTTTCGAAAGAGGGCATCGTACGCTTATATATTATTAGTCAGAGACCAAGTTTTCAGGCATTGTTGTACGCGACATGATATCGATAACCACGCTAGAAGAGGTCGATAGCTTCACGAACAGACGTCGTTTCCTCTCTGAAAAAGCATTTAACGGAACGTCATCTCGCTCGAGAGCGGAGGCGTGTGCGCGTATGTGACGCAATTGTTCCACGTGTCGCCTGTCAATTTATATCGAGCCAGCACTCGACGCGACGAGGCGTCGCGAATAATTTTGCGGATAATTCGCGCTGCGGGCGAAAAATATTTCGAGTGTATTAAACTCGTTTCTGCTATGAGCGTACTTGTCACTCTATGTTTTTATTGCATTTCATGTTTTTAAGAGGACCTTGCGGGCACGAGAGAGCTCTGAAAGCTTTTACACGAATTTATAGCGTTCGTGTCCGATAAAGGAACTTCTGATACGATTGCAAAATATTCGATGCAGAATGTATTTTGTGTCATTATTGCAGATTTTGTATAATAATAATAGGTTTTACACAACGTATCCAGAATATACAATACAGGTTTTTTTTCTTCAACAATATGGATTCTTCTTATTGGCAAACACGCGCGAATCAAGGAATAATTTTGGATTATTCAGACAAATTTTTTTTTCTTTATGCGTGTATATGCATGCGTATATTTTTTCCTTATACATATATATTTTTTCAATTATGTTTATATATTTTTTTTCAC